GATTCTCAGCTGCATTTCGTTGCAGAAGCTTCAGCCTCCAGAGGCTGTAGCTGTTTTGCCATGGAAACATCAATTATTTTTAGGTCTAAAAATTATTTTTTTTCTAATTTTTAAAATTGTATATTCCTGCGTGATTTCCCTAAGAAAAGCAAGTTTTTATGCATTGCTGATTTGCCAACAACCGTCTTGTAAGTGGTAGTTGAAATATTAGTAAATATTAGTACTGGAAATAACCAAAACTTTTTTTTTTTTTTTAGTGCTGCATGATAATAAACTTCATTTTTTCTCAATAGGTCATATGCTGTAGCATAATTGAAGACCGATAAGCTGCACAGATAGGTGAAGTAACTTTCATATAAATTATAATGTGAACAGTGAAGTACAGATTAGAGCTGTTAATCGTTGAAATGGGATTAGGCTTGTGTTTTGATCTTTAATTATGGAGTTTTAATATGTTGCTTGCACTATTATAGTGTTCAGTATCAGTTTTTTCTGACTTATCAGATTTTTTATGTGTGCAGTGTGCTTTTATGCCTCAGAAACCATGTACCAAGATATAATATGTATTTTGATTAGGTAGTTCTCTGGAAATTAAAATAGAATAAATAATTATCTAACTACTCCTCTAATTTAGTAAGTTCAGTCACATTTCTTTGAAACACTTTTTTTTTTCTTTAAGTAGTTGTGTATTCATAGCATAAAGCAGAAGTGAATGTGCTCCTACTGAAAGTTTAGTGAGGCAGAAGGCACTTTGTATGGACCAAGTTTGCTGCCATCATAGAGTTTCTCATGCAGCTCTAATGAAGCTGTTGAATTCAAAGGGGAGATCTTTTGTAACCAGATAATGATTTGCACCTCTCTTATTTCTTTCTTCATGATCGGTAAGTAAGAAAAAAACAAAGTACTTAAGTAAGCGTTCCCTACTTGGATTAAGAAGTGAAATCCACACTTGGTAAATATCCCTACTGCCTTTTGACATCTTTATAGTTACATGGTTGACCTTTATTCTCTGCTTTAGCTTCCCATTCTTTAGTCAATACCTTGAGTACTTCATCTGCATTTTTGCTAGAGCAGCTTCCCAGAAACAAGAATATATTCACAAAGGTGGAAAATATGGTTGTTGGGATTGTCTCCAAAACTAACATATCTGACCATAGAAGTATCTGTAGTGCCTCCTTAGAGCTGTTGAAATTGGCTCACTTGTGATTTGAATGCAGCAGAGGGTGGTGATCCTGAACAAAACCCAAGATAAGGTGTTCCTGACTGAAATGTGGGCCGGGAGAGGGAAGGAAGGAACACTGGTGGACGACTAGTGCACGTGTGTCTGCCCATGTAAAGGAGAGAGAGCTGTGTCAACCGATGCGTTTTTTCGGTGTGGAATACGGTAAAAGAAAATGAAATGTCAAGTTCTTAACAGGGGAAATAAATCTAATAAGCAGAAGCCCAGAAGGGTAGGAGATTGACACTGGAGGAATGGCCGCTGGAAGAAGGGTGGAGCAATAGAAAAAAAAGTTATACCGAAGACTTACTGAAGCAGTAAGATAAGTCCTAATTCTTTGAAATTATAACCAAAAAGAGACTGTGGGACCAATTCAATCAATAGACCTGATGCTTTGTACTTTCTTAATGCAATGTCTCCCTTTATTAAATTTCGAAGTAAAGGAACTGGAAGTAGAATCTCCAGTTTCTTCTCACGTTGGCCCAGTGACACTTCTAGTGCTGGAAATGGCCATGTCTACAGGACAGCTGTTACAAAGAGCATCTATGTCTGTACTGTGTTGGGAAGAAAAAGCAGTTCCTTTCATATGATTAAAACCAGAAGTGACAGAAAGGCTGCTTCTGCACAGTTCAACAGAA